CTCTCTCTCTCTCACACACACACACACACACACACACACACACACACACACACACGCGCGCGCGCGCGGCCCTGGCACCACACCCCCGCGCCAAGAACACCCTGCGCAAACACGTCAAACGCGTTTACCCTGAACGCGCGTTCACCGCGTTCAAAAACTGAACGCGAAACGCGCGTTCATTGAACGCATGGTAACACAGTCAGGTCTGACACCACGGCCGTGGGTAACACAGTCGGCGTCGCAGACATGTGTTTTTTTTGGCCATTCTATACTCAAAGGTGACATGAACGTACTCACCTCTAAAATCTTCGCTTTGAGGGGAGGGGGGTGCAGGGGGGGCCGGGGGTGAATAAGGAAAAGGAATGAAGCACACTTATTGAGAAAGGTGGCTTGTTAAAAGGAAAAAAAAAGAAAGAGGTGGTTTGTGGTTTTGGATTGCGGGGAGGATTCCAATAACCAGGAATCCAGGATTGCCCATCTATGAATATAGTAAGGGAAAAAAAAAGAAAACTAGGGTGCAGTCATGGTTTGAGTTTGTAACTGCATTTCAAACTGCCGTTTCACAGTTCGGTCCTGTCCGTAGTCTACAATGCGGTCGAAACTCCGCTTCGCAGAAAAGTTGCACCGCGGAGTTTGTAACTGCAATTCAGTCAGCAATGTGGCCAGCCTTTTTTTTTTTTTTTTTTTTTTTTTCCGGGCGTGCCCAAGGTATCTCGTTGCATGGCTTGGCCACGACTGAGATTCCTCGGCCACGCCCGAGATTAAAACAAAAAAGAATTAAGCGTTTTTTTCCCGACTTTTCTTTTTTTTTTCTGGGCGTGACCGACACATCTCGTCGCATGGCCGGGCCACTGCTGAGAAGCCTCGACCACACTCGATATTTTCTTGAAAAAGGGATAATTTGCAAAATACCCCCATAAGTTGAGATACATGCCAAAATGCCCCTTAAAGATGTGGGTGTAGCGGAATGCCCCTCTGGCAAAAAAACCATTTTGTGAAATGCCCCAGGAGTCGGTTACATGCCCAGTTGGACGATGTACATATATAACCGAGGATCTGCAATGTGATGAAAAGCAGTGCCGTACCCCCATTCACCGTTCACGGGGTCTGTGGACGGAAACCGGTCATGGAGTTCACGGCGTTCACAACACGGGAGTTCATGGAGTTCACGGAGAGCGGTATATTTTTTTTATTTTTTGTTTTGGCTGGGGGGGTATGTTTTTTTTTATTTATAGGAGGGTGGGGGCATCGAAGGGTAACTCCCTATAATTTTTTCAATTTTTTTTTTCACGAATAATATTTTTTTTTAATTAAAAACGAAAAATCAACCAGCCAAAATAAGCATTTTCGTTTGCTATTTTCTAGGTCATTTCGATTTTGTTTTATTTTTTCAATGTCACCATGCTGTGGGGCTTTAGGCGAATGTACCTGGGGGAGCCCAAAAAAATAAAAAAATAAAAATAAAAATGAACACCACTCTTTAGTGGTCGTCCCGTTCACCGTGAACGGCCGTTCACAAAAAGAACACCAAATGAACGGCCGGTCACATTCGAGTGACCAGTGCCGGTCACGGTCACGGGATCGGCACTGATGAAAAGGACTGAATGGACAATGCAGTGCTAGTGAAATCTCAACAAGCAATGTACATTCTGATACATACAAAAATGGTTTTTTGTAGCGCAGTGGAAGACTTAGATATAAGCCCTGACCGTACCGGGACTGACCTCTCTCACATAGTGCAAGACAGATCAGCAGAATGCTAGAATACCAATGACTAGCCCAATCAATTTCGCAGTACAGACCAAACATACATCATCCTCATCACAAGGTGTGAAGGGGCCTGGCGCTACACACAGGAAGAATGCGCCAGGTCCAGACCATACACTGACGAAGAGGACGGGATCAGACGAAGAAGAAGTGGGGGGAAGATGGGAATGTTGTCAACACCAAGTCTTCGTTACAAGTCCCAGATAACCCCTCATCAAATGTCTGAAGTCCAATGTCGAGTCTGGATCCAAATGTCACCAAGCCCGCTCTCTCATAGGCTGTTGATGCAGTGAAGTCAGGTAGCAAGAGGGTGAGAGGGAGATGGTGGACTGAGAAGAGGAAGAAGAACTCTCTCTCTCTCATGTGACAGGTACTAACCTGTGAAGATGGCGCCGTGCTGCAGGTACCTCGAAGGCGAAGCTGGAGCTATGGCACTGCAAGTGAGTCTCCCTGGCCTCCGCCCAATCTCTCTCTCTCTAGTACTACTCTAGCAGAGTCTAGCTCCTAATAGCGCCCAGCTCTGATGACTACTGCTAGCGCTACTACTACTCCTGCAGCGCTCCTCCAGAGTGCTGCTGCCGAATCCTGAGGACTACCTCCTGCCTCCTGCACGTGAAGTGCCTGGGAAGTACCTATGACATTACCTGCAGCCTGCAGGGTGGGCCAGTCCTATACAGTGCTGGTCTGTCCAGGAGGCTGCGCTTGCCAATGCCAAAACGTGCCAGAC